TCCGCGGGCCCGCTGACGTTGCGAGTTCAGAATAAAGGGCGAATCGCGGAGCCGCAGCCAGTGCGCTCCCCCGCTCCCCCCACCCCCCGTCTTTGTTTCTGACTCATCCGGGGGGAGGCTGGCGGACCTGATCCCCGAGGAGACCCGCTCCCAGATCCCAGCCCAGCCGGAGGTGGGGTGAAATGGGCAGACCCGGATCTGCCCAGTCGCCCAGCCCCGCAGACCCGGTGGATCATAGAGACTCGCGGATTTGGGAAGAGCCTGGATAACCGAGGTGGAGATCATCTGCCTCCCAAACCCAAACAAAAACAGAAGCGCCACCCAGACGCCTTCTGGGTGGTAGAGAATGGTCTGAGCAGGTCAGGTGTTAGAGAAAAGTTTTATGCTTCCGAGGCTATGCTGTTGGAATAGATTGGGAGAAAAGTTGTTGTTATTAATACATATCGCTTCCAGTTTACAAAGCCTTATTGAGCCTCAGGAGAATAAGTCCCCAGTATAAGGAACATCTTATGACGGTCTCCATGTCATGGGCAGACAAGCGAGGTACAGGAAGGCTGAGAGATCTGCGGATGCGTAAGTGCTGGCAAGAGAACTCTTGTCTTCAGAGCCAGGACCCTTTATACCAGGGATATATATGTATGTACACATACACGTGTACATATGTATACACATAATACATGTGTACAGATAATATGTGTACACAGCATGAGGCTCCAAGTATGGCTCACTTCTTGGCTATCTCCCTGATGCTCTGCCATGACCATTCCCTTCGTCTGTCTGTTGGAGTCCAGTGGAAGGATGGGCTCCATATCTAGAGGGTACTCTTAACTGGAGACCTCTGTTGACCCTTCTGACCCCAAACTGCCTCAGAGCCTGCGGGGTGTGGCTTAGTAACTTCATGTTTCAGTACGTGTTTGATGGCAAGACAGGTGGGGGAAAACCCGTCTGTGTGGCCGTGTCTTTACCCCTGTGGCCTTTGGTCAAGTCATTGAATATTTTTAAGTCCCTGTTCATCCACTTGTGGATACTGAGAGACAAACATTCTATCAACAAGGGAAGTTAGGTGGCCATGTAAGATGCCCAGGGAAAGACCTTAGAAAACAAAATTATTGTCCTTTAGGGCTAAGTATGATAATAAACTGATAAAAACATCATCTTACATGCATATTCTGTGTATGTAGGTACATAATTACTAGAAAATGAATAAGAATATTTGGTACAGAGCAGGAGAAAGAGGGCAAACATTCTGGAGACATCTCAAGATTTAAAAAGAGTGGTTAAATTTATGATGTGAGAGGTAGAGGGTTCTTTGGCTTTTTCTGGCATCCGTTGAATTAGGCATCCTGTGTGTTCTTAGATCCACCTTTCCTCCTAATCCAGTGATACTGCTGTCTCCTTCCCTTAGTCATAGGAATTAATTTTCCTGTTTAAGATGAGTTGTAGAACTTTATCCTTTCAAAATATTTTTCTATGTCATGGAAAGGCTTTAGTGCCACCTTGTGAAGCATATAGAGTGAGTATGAATAGTCTCATGGGAAATGAGGAAACAGGGTGTAATGAATCCACTGACATGCTCAAATTTAAACAAGTTACTGGCTAAATCCAGCCTTTCTGACTCGAGCCTGCAGGGAGACACAGATGCATGTGCATGTGTGCAAAGCACCAACACATACATACAGCACACATTTTCTAAACCGTCCCTTCCCTATCCCAAAAAGCGCTGGGGAGCATGGCTCAAGTAGTAAACTTCTTGTCTAGCAAATTAGAGGTCTTAGGTCCAATCCCCAGTATGGTAAATAAATAAGGTGGGACACATTAAAAAGAAGTCCAGGATATTTTATATATGAGGAAGCAGAATAATGTAAGGAAAGTATACTGCATGACTTTTTGGGGGGGGGTCGTGGGGCCTGAACTCTGGGCCTGGGCGCTGTCCCTCAACTCTTCAGCTCAAGGCTAGCGCTCTACCACTTGAGCCACAGCGCCACTTCCGGCTTTTTTCTTTTTGCTTATGTGGTGCTGAGGAATGGAACCCCGGGCCTCGAGCATGCAAGGTAAGCGCTCTATCACTGAGCCACCTTCCCAGCCCCCTACTGCATGACTCTTTGAGGGCATGTTGGTCAGACAAATAGGAATAGCTTGGATCTATAGTTTAATAGGGGTTGGAATTAACTCAGTAGAGGAACACTTGTCTAGCATGCAGGAGGTCCTGGACCCAATTATGAGCACCACAAAGAAAAAAAAAGTCTACATTATTTAGATGACTTTTGGCTTATGGGGGAAGAAGTAATTCATGACTTCCCCCATCTTCCGTTTTTCCAGTAGGTTTCATTTAGTCAGTAATGCTTGAGGACCTCCTAGATGTAAGGTCCTGTGCTCCTCGCGCGCTCTATCAGAGAGGAGCTGGGCCCTGTAAACATCAGGCAGAGGGACCCATAAAAAATAACCCTCCAAAGTAATTTTCAGATTCTAGAGCAGATGCATGTGGGCTGAAGAACCTTCTCTGCCTGTCTGCTCCTTGAGATGTTACATAAATCTCTGGCTTTCTCCCTCCTATTAACTGGCAGTACTGCACAGCTCCATCCTCTAGTCCTCTCCCTACCTTCTCTTACCTTGCCCCTCTGGCCACTCGCCCCTCTTCCCACATGCTATAGTCTTCCTCTGACTTGTTCATCATGCTGACTTCTCTCTTACCAGGTGAACGTTATGGCACATAAATTTGGCTCTATGTAGGACAGTTTTCCAAAGTTCAGTGCTTAAGTGAGAAATGTGAATGAGGCACATCTAGGTTCCTTTACACATTTTTATAACACTGTCTCCTCAGTGAGCTTGACACAACCATACGCACAAATCTCAGAAATAGTTCAAGCCACTTTTCTCTTTGAGGGAGATAAGACACTGGGAGGAATCATGGTAGGGTTACCTCCTAAATACGTTCATGCATAAGACATCCCTGCCAGTGGCTTTGTGCTTCAATTGAGTTTTCATAAGTAACTCCACTTAGGAAAAGGACATGATTACAGGTAAAATCTTGTGAATTGCTGACTACAAGTTTCCTGAGTAGAAACTGTTATTGAAACAGTTGTTTCAAAACATCCTCTTGGCTTTTGTAAACAGGAGTGCGGTTTTGGTCAGGGCATTTCAATCTGTGGGGGAGAGGGTTATTAAAAACATACAAAACCTTAATTAAAATGTTTTTAGAGAGGAAAAATAGAGGGCCAGTAATAATGGAATCAGCCTTGTCAATATTAGTGTACTGCCTCATCTCTTGCAATCTCATGAGAAAAGTATTATTACTCCTGTTCTGTGGATGAGGAAGCTGAGGCACCACCATTCCCAATGCCGTGTAAATATGACATAAACTTGATCACAGATTGTCCCATGCCAGGGAATATTTGTTAACATTTAAACTCATACACACCTTATAGAGAACTGGAAGAGGACTGAGCTCTGCTATTTTTGCTATGATTATACCATTGCTTTTTACTGCTTTCAAGAGAAGCAAAATTGAGACCAGCATTTATTATCTGCTTTGGTATACTTTAAATATCTTCCAGGTAGAGGCAATGCCTTCATTGCGTTCGGCATGAAGCCATCTCAAACCTTACTTCCTGAATTCCCATAAATGAATCCCAAGAAAGAAAATCACTCATATTTCCACAAAATGAAGTTTTATTGTAGTCAGTCATAGTTTCTCAGTGCCACAGAAAATTGCAACATGGGGACAAATACCTTTTCCATGGTTCTCTCCAGAAACACGGTGAGGTCTCTGAAATGAGTTATACAGGGATGTGGTGAATGGGAAGAAGAAAGGGCCAAGGGAAGAGAGGAAATTGAAGAGGGAGGTATGTACCTCAGCTGGCTCTTTTTCAGGCCTCTCGGCTCTGATAATCCTTTTCCCAAATAGGATCTCAACAAAATCTATCAGACAGGAGAGTGATTGTGCTATCAAATATACAAAGAAACATTTATTTGATAAGGAAACTGAGAGAAAGTGGGTTGGGGTGGGTTTCAACTTCTCAGCTTATCCTCAGTCTTGATGCTCGCCGGCCGTTCAGGAACCAGCAGGCAGGCTGGCTGGCCATCAGGGAAGGCCTGTGGAGCAAGCAGGAGGGGA